TTAAATGTGCCAGACTGGGCAGGAGGAGGTGACACTGATGGAGGATTTCACAGAGGCAGTGGCACAATAGCTAACATTGCATAGAAGGAGCCACAATGAACCACTTCAGGAGGATAAATATTCTATTTTCCTTCACTCCTGATCTAACAGTCTTCGTTATCCTATCGCCATCCGATATCTGGCAATTTAAGGCTTGTAGTGGGTGAAATGGCATTTTAAAATTATGGTGTCAAAGCTGCACTTCAGAGATTAGCCTTGTCTAATCTTGGAAGTGCATGGCCATGGCAAACACAGAAAATACCTCAGTGCTACCAGGAATCCTTTGTGATCTTAGATACTATCCAAATACCAGATACTCCAGCCCTGTTCATGTCAGAGGTTTTGGCAAGACTAGGAACCACTAGATAGAAAATTACATATGACAAAGAAACATAGGCTCATTCTTGTTCGGATTTTTCTGGTCCATTAGAAAAAAACAAACTAGAAGGCTCATGCCTCTATAATAACCAACTAAAACACCATGGAGAATTCAACAGATTTTTTAGTTTGCCAAAGCAATTCAATACTGGATCTACTGTTAACCAAAGAAAGGGAGGGTATTTGGGGGGGGGGGGGAGGGGGGCTAATGTTTGTAGGCTAGAAACTAGTATGCAGACTATAACTGCTTTTTAAATGGCGTAAGGCCCCATCTACGCGGCCATATAAATCCAGATTATCTGATTTGAACTGGATTATATGGCAGTGTAGACAGAGGGCCCTTCCAAACAGCCATATAACCCAGAATAACAAGGCAGAAAATCCCACAATATCTGCTTTGAACTGGGTTATCGGAATCCACATTGCCATATATTCCAATTCAAAGCAGAAAATGTGGGATTTTATTCAGCTGTGTAGAAGGAGGCAGAGGACCCTTCCAGACAGACGCTATATCCCAGGATCTGATCCCAGGTTTTCTGTATATCCCAGATTATCTTGCAGTGTAGTCTCATATAATCCAGTTTAAAGCAGAAAACCTGGGATCAGACCCTGGGATATAGGGCCTGTCTGGAAGGGTCCCAATATAATCCAGTTCAAAGCAGATAATGTGGATTATCAACTTTGATAATCTGGATTACATGGCAGTGTAGAAGACCTAGTCTGAGACAAAATGAAATAGCTAGTGCCATTTACATTTTCAAATGAGAGGAAATATTCTCCTGAGGGTATTTTTTTATCATACTGAACATAATCTAAACCTATTTAAAATCTAATCCTATAGATACCTGGAAGTAATTTCTGTGGAATTAAACAGACATTTCCTATGAGCAGAGATGCCTAGATTGACCTGTAAAGCTACAATATTACCATAATTTAATTGGCAAGAAAGGAAGCTCCTTTGAAAACAGTACAACTCCTGAGTAAACAAATACATTATAGTTTAGGGCTGTGCTAAGATATCTTGCTGATTGTTTTTTTTTTTAAGGACAAGATGTTGCTCTTTGCCCTCATTTCATACAGGGAAACAGTTTGGACTGGCAACTGAACTTAACTGTAATAATAGAAAGAGGGTAGCATTCTTTACCTTACTTGAAGGCAACATATTAATTTATGAGATGCGAGACAGACTGTTCAACACATACAGCTATGTCCTCAAACATCTTCCCATTCTTCTGTGCTACCCAGAATTTCCCAGCTGAAATAGATGGCTCACTCTGATGCATCCTATGGCCAAGTCCAGAGTCGTTTGCTTTACACTATTATACACTACTAACATGTAAATAGACTACCTCCCTCATTACACATAAAGATTATTACAGTCCGAGCTACACGTTTTTTTCCCCATCCAGACTAGCAAAATTATTTTTTTCTTATTTATTTTTTTATTTTATTTGCTATATTTGTATACCGCCGTTTCTCAGCCTAGCCGGCGACTCAGCGCGGTTTACAACAGAATATAACAATCAACAGTATACAGTTTAAAAGCATAAAAAAAACATAATACACAATTCATACATCAATACCAATCCAGTTCAACTCCTAACTAAAAACGTGATCCAGTTCGTCGTCCATTGCCAGTCCTTTAGTCAATTACCATTCATTGTACTGAATTAACCAAATGCCTGCTCGAACATCCAGGTCTTCAATCTTCTTCGGAATACCATCAATGAGGGGGCTGATCTTACCTCCAAGGGCAGGGCGTTCCATAGCCGCGGGGCCACCACAGAAAAGGCCCTGTCTTTCGTACCCGCCAGCCGCACCTGTGAAGCACCTTATGCTGCTTTGGTTTTTATCATAACTTTCAGATGACATAATTTGGAGTATTGATAAATGTAAAAGATTTCTCATAGCATTATTATGCAACTTCAAATATTACGTTTTGTCATATAAATTTTCAAATGCTTTACTGTATTTTGAAGTTTTGTGTATGCTTGTTTTTTAAAAAAACATTAGGAAGCCATTAGAAACTCCTTTGGATTCTGAAACCATTTACTGTACATGTGTTCTGTTTAATTGTAATCCTACAGAATGATGGACCTGAAGAGCGGTTTAGGAAGCTGTGCCTGTTTAGCTTGGAGAAAAGAGGGGCCGAGAGGGGACAAAGGAGCCATGTTTCAATATCTGAAAGGATGTCACATTGAGGAGGGGACAGGCTTTCTTTCTGCTGCCCTGGAGACTAGGACACAATGGAGCATTGGAGTCAATTTGCAGGAAAAGGGATTCCACCTTAACAGTAGGAAGAACTTCCTGGTATAAGAGATGTTGGCAGTGGAATATGCAGCCAGCCTGGAGGTGTTTAAGCAGAAGCTGGATGGCTATCTATTGGGAGTGCTTTGTTTGTTTTTACAGAATGGGGTAGGAGTGGAAGGCGCTTGGGGTTCTCTTCCAACTCTTATGACTCAATGAAAACTCTTTTATCAGTGGTCTCTATAACCAGCCTGGCTGAAAAACAGCTCTTTCTCACATTCCCCATTCATTTACACTGACTTTCTGCGAGTGACAGCAGTCTTTCACTTGGAAAGAACAGAGAAGGGCTGAAAAGCCAGGCCAAAAATGTTAATGTGTGTGTATCAAGCTAGAAATAATTTGCAAAAAAACTCACTTGCCAACCAGCTTAAAAAGCATTTGAAAAGATAACCCTCTGCAAGGCTTTTTGAAGTGATAGTAAATTGTGTGTAGTGTAGCCCGTGCTTTTTGTCTTTGCGGATGACTGTCCACATCAATCCCACTTTATCTCTACAGCATCCTGTAACAGAGCAGCCGGCATGCGACTGTCCCTTATCCCCAAACTGTAGGCATGATTAGGATTACAATTTTGAGAAAAAGTCAGGAGAGAATGCCTCTAGAACATGGCCATATAGCCCGAAAAAAACCTGCAACAATACCCTTTGTATTTGCCAGCCAAAAATGTTGCCATCTATCTATCTATGTATCTACTATACACTCTATCTATCTATACGCTATATACTATACATACACTACACACAATAAAAGTGAAAATATGTATGTGTATATGTGGCATGGGTACCACTTTCACAGACAGGCTCCCACTTCCACAAACATCTATAGCTCCCACCACTCAGCAGACACCAATGACCCTCCTTCCAGTGACATTGCAGGTTATAGTGAGCGCCATGAACATATCCAAGAGCCGTGCCAATGTCCTCCACAAACACCATACTGCCCACCACCCAAGTGAAGGCTTTCATATGGGAACAATTTCATCCTAGATTTTATGTTTTTCCTCCAACACAGGCATCCATCCCAGTGTTCCATTGATGTGGAATTTGCATGATCCCACCCACTCTCTCCCTCTTAACCCTTTCCTATTCAGGAATTGGTCAGCAACTGAACAGGCTGGAGGAGGTTGGAGGACTGACTCAACATGATGGAAGTTGTAGTTTGTCCTGCATCAAGACACAGCACACTGACCCCCATCAGTAATGGACCTGGACCACATTTGGCACACAGAACCCCCATGACCAGATTTGGGAGGGGATTGACCTTGATTCCACAACTCCCACCATAATGAGCCCTCCTCCACAAACCATCTGTTTCTCTTTTATCTCACCCAAGCTTTTTAACCAGTTTTAATTAGTTCTTCTTTTAACCATTACATGTGGCCCGCCCATTGTCACTGTGTTTGTGTTTATTGTAATTTTATATTGTATATTCATATGTTTTTTGTAATTATGATATTGTTTATTGTTTGCGTTTTCAGTTTGCGTTCGGTCGTTCTTTATTGTATTTGTTGTTTGGGCTTGGCCCCATGTAAGCCGCTCCGAGTCCCCATTGGGGAGATGGTGGCGGGGTACAAATAAAGTTTATTATTATTATTATTATTATTATTATTATTATTATTATTATTATTTATAGGAATTGTAGTTCATTTACACCCAAAGAGCACTGTGAACCCAACCAACGATGGATCTGGACCAGGCATCGCCGGTACCCAAGCTAGTCAATAGAAAAAAAATGTAATGTTCGTTTGTGGGATTGACATAACTCAAAAACCACTGGATGAATTGAGAGCAAATTTGGACACAATACACCAATCAGGCCAATGCTCATAAAAAGACTGAAAATCACATCAAGAGAGATTTAAAAAGCCAAAAAACAAAAATGCATTACAAAGCATACTCAAAACCACATATATACACAAACACACATTTATACACATATATACACACAAAACATATATTCACAGACTGGGCCACAGCATTGTGTGGCAGGGGCCTGCTAGTATACCATAAAGGTGGCCTTAGCACCAGTCAGCTTGAAACCTGAGGACTCTGGCTGCAGCCCAGAGAACACCATCATCCCAACCATCATCTGCTTTACGGATATTATTTCAAATTTATTTTTAAAGATGGATTTCGTTTGTTTGTTCCAGTTTTATAGAGCATCTTGCTCCTTAGGCGGAATCCGGAACCAAAGATGTCGCTAGTTGAGGCCGCACGGAGCTCAATGCGTGCTGCGCCAAAACGCTGCAGGTGAGAGCGGCGTTCTGCGGCTCAGGGACCGGAAGTAGCCGGGGGAAGTCTATTGAAGTGGCACAAGGGCTGAGGTGTTTCTGGTCCGGCGTTTCCACCGGGGCGAAAAGAAGTAGGAGGTGGGAAGGAGAGTGTTGATAGCTGGGTTGAGGGGAATTGGAAACTGGAGAAGAGTCTTTAATCCTGAGTGCGGGCGGGAAAATTATGATGATGATTTGGGGGACGTTTCTTTAAAGAGGAGTCCGGTTCCTTGAGGTGTAGGGATGGGCAAACTTGGGCCCTCCAGGTGTTTTGGACTTCGACTCCCACCATTCCTGACAGCCTCAGGCCCTTTCCTTTTCCCCCTCAGCCGCTTAAGCGGCTGAGGGGGAAAAGGAAAGGGCCTGAGGCTGTCAGGAATGGTGGGAGTCGAAGTCCAAAACACCTGGAGGGCCCAAGTTTGCCCAGGTCCGATCTACACCCAAATTAATCCAGATTTGACACCACTTTAACTGCCATGCCTCAAATGCTATAGAAACATGGGAGTTGTAGTTTGGGAAGGCACTTTTCTCAAAGACCTTGGCCCCTTCCACACATCTGAATAAAATCCCACATTATCTGCTTTGAACTGGAATATATGGACTCAGATAACCCAGTTCAAAGCAGATATTGTGGTGTTTTCTGCCTTGATCTTCTGGGGTATAGGGTTTTGTGGAAGGGCACCCAGACAAGGTTTTTGTGGGGTTTTTTTTTAAACCACAAATATGTATTTCTAATATCTGCTCCCTCCCTCCTGGCTTTCAGAAAGAAATTAAAATCATGGTTTTGGGACCAGGCCTTCGGACAGTAGATGTTTGTAGAGTTTAAAGGACATGGACTAGAATGACAATTGAATATAGGAACACGGAACAACAGATTATGAGATTGGATCTTGATTCTACCTATGAGACGCTAATGAGATGTTACAGTTATGTTTAACTGATTTTTTTTATTTATCGTGTCAGTTGTATTACATTTTTGACAGAACAAACAAACAAACATACAAAAGACACAGAGTTTGCAAGCTTGGTAGTTGATTAAATGTCCTTTGACCAGTATCTGGCCACTTGGAGTGCTTAACTGATTGTTTATTATATCATTGTTTTTAACTGTTTTTTAACTCTTTTTATGATGTTGAGCATTGAATTTTGCTATTGTTAACCGCTTTGAGTTGCCCAAGGGCTGAGAAAAGCAGTATATAAATGAAGTAAATAATAAATAAATACATAGTAGGTCTTATAATGACCTTTCCCTTCTGTCAATCCCTATTTACTTAGCTTCTGCAAATAAAAAGCTGAAAAACAATAGGTGACTCAGGAGTGCGAGGAAAAACATGCATCACGTATATTTGTAAGAATGTAGCAGGATCATGCTTCGATTCCCAAAAGGTTTTGTTGAATTGGAATAAGACAAAGACGGAACTCTGTAACTTTAATTAAAAGCAGTTTTGTTACCTATCTATGCATTATACGTATCCAAGGGCCCTTCCACACAGCCAAATAACCCAGAATATCAAGACAGAAAATCCCACATTATCTGCTTTGAACTGGGTTATCTGAGTCCACGTTGCCATATATTCCAGTTCAAAGTAGAAAATGTGGGATTTTATTCAGCTGTGTGGACGGGGCCCTAGTGAAAAGATTGGTGATTGATACCTATTTGATGGAGTATCAATCTAAGAAAGCATTTTTCTATAAACATGAAAATGTTGGCATGTTGTGGAACAAGGATTGGTGATAAAGCTTCAGTGGAGACACCTTTTCCCCATATATCTTTTCCAGGAGTGAATTTCCATCCCTATGAGTAGATTTCTTTCACTTCCTTTTGTCTCACCCCTGTTCTTAACTATGAGTCATTTGTAAATCAGATGTTTGTAACTCGGTGTATGCCTGTATTTGGTTCTTATTCTCAAATAAGTGGATATAGGATCATCACCAAAATACTGTGCAACAGTCCTTGTAATTGTGTAGTAGCTTTATACAAAACAAAATTGAAGAGTCAATGTACACATCAGAACCATGAATATAACTGCAAGTTTATATCCTTTGTGCAGTTGTTTATTTCATTTTTGTGGCTATGCACTAAAGGCTGCTTTTCATCTTAGGTAAATTTATCCCAGATCTTTTCATTGTAAGAATATTCACAACAGACTGTTTGTGACTATATCAGGTAAGATTTCCCTCTTCACTATCCATTGCCCACAAAGGAAAATAAATATAGAGAACTATTATTTCATGAGCTCTGCAAGTTATTTTTGTGGATGTTGATCTGTTTTATTTGTTTGGGACATTAGCAATAGTATATTCTATATATTATCCTCTATAAATACACAGTTTACAAAATAAAATACATTTTGGTTTAATATACAGTCTGAAACGTGATGTTTAAATAGCCATCCGTTGGCTTTGGGCAAAGCAAAGGACAATCTTTATTCTGATTTAATTCTCTAACATGCCTGAATAGGATTAAGGGGCCTTCAACACAGCCATATAACCCAGAATATCAAGGCAGAAAATTCCACAACATCTGCTTTGAACTTTGTTATCTGAGTCCACAGTGTCATATATTTCAGTTCAAAGCAGAAAATTTGGGGTTTTATTCAGCTGTGTGGAAGGGGCCTAACTTTCTACTAATAAGCTGTAGTCCTGTATACTCAGAATATCAGAGCAAGTCTGCATGTTAACCTTGCTTGCATGTGGGGGTCTTTGAATACCCTCACATGGCCATTCAAAGCTTTGCAGGGAGTGGGCAGAATTGTAGAAGCTAGATATGGAATTATTATTACAGCAGAGCCAAGACCTTGAAAGATCCTGCTGATTCCCGGCATCAGTTTGCATTGGCTATGGGGGTGTATCCATGTGATTCTGTCATCCTGCCAACTGAGGAAACACAGAAACAGTGCATGTTGGGGTGGGGTGGGAGCCTTCAGAGGCTGTTCAGTAAATTACGAGAGAGGGGTTGGGTACTGAAGGGAGGTGGTGCTATAATATAGAAATGTCAGAGTATAAGAACATTTATGTTCTCGTCTAAGACATGAACAAAGCAGCAAGTCATTGTTATATAGATTTGTTTGTGATGTTTCAATTTTTAACTTAAATTTTGACAACCCTCAAAAAAGTAGTGTTCTGGAATATGGTAGATTCTAGAAATACTTTTTCTTTGTTACTTTTTCAGAGATTCTTCTGATAGATTCCCTTCCCCTTTTCCCCAATAACAAAGCATCAAAATGTTAAAAGTTGTGTTGATGTGACCAAATGCTCTGTTTACTCTGTTTCCAAGATCAAGGAATCAGAATTTGGCTAGCATTATTGCTTGAAGTTTTGGTTTGGGTAGACTTGTAATACTAACGATGGAAGTGAGTAGCCAAAGCAGGTAAAGAAAAATAGTAGGACACTAAACTTTCCATTTTCAATTCATCATGAGATAGTAACTTGCACTGTGCACATAATGCCTGTAAATTTTCTCAATTGGGATCACAGGTTTTAAAGAGACCAGACCTTGCAGTTGTTGACAAATATATGGATGTACAGTGTACAAAACATGCTGGTCTTTGGTCCCCTGAGTATTGAAATTTTAGATGCCTGTCAGGTCTATTGGAGCGGCTTGATTTCTGTACGATAAGCATATTGGGAAGAGAAGATCAATTCCAGAATGAACAGTTATTGCTGAATAAACAGAATTCAGAAAAGCCTTTAATTTTGTAGGGACTAGTTTGTGTTCTTTAGACAACCAGTTGTGGATCATTTCCTTTTAAATCGTGCTTTCCTTTCTGACTTTAGGTAACAAAATGACTACAGGAGCAGATGTCCGGGATATACTGGAACTGGGTGGAACAGATTCTGAGAATATAGGAACCATTAATAAGAAAGACATAATCAATTCTGATAAGGTACAGTCTGGAAAGGCTTAATTTGAAGTGAATGTCAAAAGAAACAATTTTCACTTTTATACTGCTCATATTTTTCAGATGTTTCTGAAATATATTCTTAAATGAATTTGTCTAGTTGGAATGCTAGCTGCACCTGTATTGTGGGAAGAAATGTATAGAATATTGCCAGGGATTTTGGATGTCTACTTTTGATCAGGACTAGGAGATCAATTCTCTATGTCTATGGCGATGGGTCATATTTCCATGGTCCACATCCATAGGAAGCTCTTACTGTTTTCTTGGATCTTGTTAGCATGATTGCCTCATGCAAGAAACTTCCTTATTCTAATGAAGTGTTTGCATTTAGACAAAGTAGTTATTTTCATGTGGAGAGCCTCCATATATTGAGCAAGATGGTGATGACGGGGTGACTGCTGCTGTTGATGATAGTACGCTGGATCCAAAAAACCTATGATGAAAATTTGCCTCAGTAAAATAGAGCCTCTAATGAAGATCTTCTTTTCCAGAAAAAATCTAAGAAGTCATCAGAAACCCTAACATTTAAGAGACCAGAAGGAATGCACCGGGAGGTGTATGCATTGCTGTATTCTGATAAAAAGTGAGAGTTATTTCACAACATTTATCTTGGATAGTTTGTACTTTTGTTCTGGAAACCTCATCTTCTAAGGTCTATATATATGAAAGCATCAACAAATCACTTTTTGAAAACTGACTTTCTGTGTTCACTCATTTCTCCTTCCTAGTACCTATGACTATAAGAGAACTATTTCACAGTGTGTGAGCTCTATGATCTAGATCAGTGGTTTCCAACCTTTTTTTAATTAGGGACCACTTTGACCAGGGACCACTCTCCAACATTAGTACCAAAGGGGTTGCAAATCTGTTTTTGGTCAACTTTAAATTCGATTTGGTTATTTAGGGTGCTGATTCAGAAAATTGTATTGAATAGACCACGTCAGCTCTGGTTTCCAATAAAAAACATATGCCATCCAGTAGTCGCCATCTACTCACCCAAAGAAAACCATATTTAATAATCTAGAGCTGATGTGGTCTATCCAATGCAATTTTCTGAATCAGCACTCCAAATAATCCCAGGAACATACCTAAAATGAAGACCCCAAGGCACCCCTGCTTCCAGGTGCCACATGGAACAGCTTCCACTCAGGGGGAGGAAGGAGGAGAAGCAACAGTCAGAAGGCTTGTTATCGTGCCTTTCATAGGTAGTCAGCCTCTCCCTTCCTGACATTCCCATTGTCTCGGCACTATAAGAGAGTTTTGCAACAGTGTTGTAATGGTGAGGCTGCGGACCATATTTTAGTTCTTGGGGACCACTGGTAATCCACTGACCTCAGGTTGGGAACTACTGATCTAGATGTTTAATGCACTTCTGAAATGTAATTGTTCCAGAAATTTTGGGCATGAAAAAACAATTAAGAACCCTTTTGGCAAAAATCTGATGTTAGGAGAAATTGTAGCCTCTCTCAAAATCAAATTAAACTTATTTTTCTCTTTTAGGCATATAAGGTATTTTATGTATATGTAGATAAAAGATTTATATTTTAAAAATATTCAGTCAAATTAGTAGAAAATCTACATACAAATGTACAAAAACAATAAACCTTGTACACCTATGCGAAAAGGGTCTTTGGACCATAATAAAATGTTGTTGTTGTAGTACATACAAATGTACAAAAATAAACCAACACAAACAACAACAAAAATGTAAAATACTTTTTATAGAATAAAACACCTACTACTACATTCTAAACATCAAAAAGCATTAATTACATACAATCTACATTATCTGATCAAAGGGCTTTACATTTTCTGAGGTCTGATGATTATAGTTTCTCAATTTTCTACAATTAAGTGAAAAAGAACTATAGATATATTATTTCCCCACATAATAACACTCTTATGTTTATATAGATAAAATGATAATTTTTCAACGTTTTTGTGAGATATATATATATATATACACACAAGTGTATGTGTGTGTGTGTGCTTTATTTTTATTCCGGATAGTTTACCTTAAAATGCCTAGGCATATGCCTAAGGTAGGATAATAAGAAATAAGTGGAAGTTAAAATGAGAAACCCTTAACATTTACCAAGAAAAAAATGTTTTCTAGTGTTGGGAATAGGGCTAGGGTCCAGATTGGTTCATGGTATCCAAAGAAGTTTGGACTTCTGTTTCTCAAGTTGCTACTGCATTTATCTCATAGCAAGTATTTTTCTGAAATTGGAGAATTGTTAAATAATTGTTAAATATCCAAAATATCTCACCTGTTTTATACTGCAGTTCAGTTAGCTGATTTATCTTTATCACAGATTGATGTTGCATTTAAACTGACAAACTATGTTTTGTGTATACCCTGAAGATTTCTCATTATAACAATAACTAATATATAATTGTAAATTATGGCTTGGTATTCCATGTGAATCAGCCCATTGTGTCATGCTGGTACTTTCTGGGCCTTATTTATGCCTTTCTGTTCTAAATTCATATATGCTGGCCTTCTTTGGTCTGTAAAGATTTATGTTATGTGTTAATCATATAGGATTGATTATATTGGCTTAAGGCCAAGGTTAATTCTGTACCGCTTGTGTGTAAAAATGGTAATAAAACATTTGGCTTTGAAGCCTTGCCTTGGAGATCATGACATGGGGCAGTGGAGAGGTGAAGTGATCCTCATGTGGACAACATAGTTTTATCAGTATGCACCATGTATTTTTTCAGAGATGCACCTCCTCTTCTGCCAAGCGACACGACGCAGGGCTACCGCACCGTCAAGGCAAAATTGGGCTCCAAGAAAGTGCGGCCTTGGAAGTGGATGCCCTTCACAAACCCTGCGCGAAAGGATGGAGCAATGTTCTACCACTGGCGGAGGGCAGCAGAAGAGGGCAAAGATTACCCTTTTGCCAGATTCAACAAAGTATGGCTCCAGAATCCGAATTAAGGCTTCTATGATATATGTGAAACACAAAAAGCTGGATATGTTTCCATCAAAGCATTTGAAACGATCATCCTAAATACCTTTTTCCTATTATTTGGTCTTTCGCTTTGTCTCAGTGTTAGGAATATAACATTCTGATTGTCAAATAGTAGGAGGATGTAACCTATTATTCTAATAAGATGCTCCAGATGTTATGTCCTATCAGATCCACCATGGCTACTGGTTAGGGATCATAGGACCTAGATTCCAGCATTATATGGAGAGCCTCAGATTCCATGAAGCTTGCATTTCATTGCTTATTCACCAATATTTAGTGAATGCACTGCTCATCTATCTCCTTCCCTCTTAACACCTCATGGAGGCTGTGGCAAGACCTCTTCAGAAAAAAACCCTTCCCTGAATCCCATTATACTCGATAACTATAGGTCAGTCTCCAGTCTTTTGTTTTTGCGTAAGGTACTGGAGCAGTGGTGGGTTCTCAACTCCAAAGTTTCATGGATGAGATGCATTATCTAGATCTATTTCAATCTGTTTTCAGATTGGGAATGGCTACAGGAACAGAAATAGCTTTGGTTGCCTTAGTGGATGACCCATGCAGGGAATTGGACAGGGGAAGTGTGACGCTCTTGCTTCTGATGGACCTCTTTTAATATCATTGACCATGGTATCCTTTTGAGTCACCTCTCTGCGATGGGGCTTTGAGCTACAGTTCTACAATGACTTCATTTCTTCCTGGAGGGGTGCTCTCAGAAGGCGGAGCAGGGGGATTCCTGCTCAACTCCTTAGCCATTTGACCTCTGGAGTCCCCTAGAGTTGATGTTGCCACCATTTTATGGCCATGGCTGTTGAAATTATATATCTGGAGCCCCGTGGATCCAGAAGGTCCACTGTATGTTGTTAGCCACCTTGAGTTCCATTATCAGGAGAAAAGGGGGATATAAAATTTAAAAAACCCAATGTTAATAATATTAACAGTAATAATGGTAATGATAGAAATAGCAGCATAGTTCTCAGATATGCATACACCTTGTGCATCTACTGTCTGAGAATTTATCCTCAACTTAGAAAGCAAATACAAAAGTAGTAATCATTTTCTAGCACTTTTTTGTGTATAGCAGTTTTAATTTAGGGAAACAGAACTAAGCTACAAATAAAACAGGTGAAGGTTAGGAGGAAGAGGTTTCCTTGTCTTATTTGAGTAGCAGTAGAAATGGAATTTGGGGAATACAGTTTGAAGATACTAGTGAGTGGGGCATAGGAAAGGACAGATGGGGTTCTGTCATAATTCTTTGTACTGTGTAATCTCAAATTTGTTTCACTTAAAAGTATTCCTGCTAGATAGGAAAGCTATCCATTTTTATGAAGAGATCCTGATGTGTGAACAATCTTTTTAAACTTGTTCTCTTTCTGCTGCAGACTGTACAAATCCCGGTCTACTCGGAGCAGGAATATCAGATGTATCTTCATGATGATGCTTGGACCAAAGCTGAAACAGACCATCTTTTTGACTTAGCCAGAAGGTTTGATCTCCGCTTTGTGGTCATTCATGACCGTTATGATCACCAGCAGTTCAAAGTGAGTGATTAACTTGCCTTGCGTGGTTTGTTGCATAACTCACAACTCCAGTTTGATCTATGGCTAGACAGGTGGATCCCGTAAGAGAGATAATGCTGAACATGGAGTGAGAATCCGTAATGTATATTGGGTTGATCGCATTATACACATGTGTTCTGGCTTTTCAAAATTTTGCTTATGACATTTTAACAATATCTATGCATTGAAGTAAGTAAAGGAGTGAGGGAAATTGGGTTGATCTAGTAAGATGCTCTTCCATACCTTTATTGGGGGGGGTCATATAATCTTCAATACCTGACAAGATGCAACTGCCATTTTTAAACCCCTTCAAGCAAGCTTTTAGTTTTGCAATTAACATGGTTTAAGATCAGGGAAGTGAGAGTGAGGAGCACTCGATGCATCTCTTTTTGCACATCTAAGCAAAATATAAAGAATGCTTGGCAGTTATGAAGGGCTAATCAATGCTAGCATGCATTGCAAACCTTGTTTAATATCTATTTCAACCTCTTGTACTGTTTTTAGAAGCGGTCAGTTGAAGACCTGAAGGAGCGCTACTATCACATCTGTGCCAAACTGGCCAATATTCGTGCTGCTCCAGGCACAGACCTGAAAATCCCTGTCTTTGATGCTGGTCATGAAAGACGACGGAAGGAACAGTTAGAGAGGCTATACAACCGTACGCCAGAACAGGTAATGCAAAAGCAAAAAGGTCTCAGATTATCCTTAGATTAGATCAGTGGCAATAGCTACAAAATAGTTAGTATGTCCCAGTATCCTTTGTAACTGTTAATCTCCAGAGAAGTGTTAGTCAAGTAATCTACCTCAGTGTGACTGAGGACATAATTAAGAGAACACGGTATGTTCTAGTTTGAGAAAGCCCCTGAATTTGAGTTTGAGGTGCCCACTGCTGCTGTCACTTATCAAAATATACTTCTTGAGTTCAGATAATGCATGTAAAATATTTGTTTTCCCAACAAATGATAGATATTCATAAAATGTACTTAGAGAAGAAAGGTTACCTCTATTAAAGAACCTCAACATAGTGCCTTTATGAAGTGTTACTGTGTTTAGGGATTTGATGATGAAGTCTCTTGACAGCAATTGATTTACATGATATGAAGATGTAGAATATATGCAGACGTCCACATTCCTGAAGAAATGAAATTGTCAACAAAGCAAGAAGTAGTTTTGGGTATATATTTTTCCCCACATCTTTAAAAGAAGACAGAGCAGAAACCGTAATGGGGAAAAGAGCCAAAAGGGAAAAAGACAAGAACTAGAAAGCTGTGCCTAGCAAAGGTATGAAACTAAAAATGGGCTAATGGAGAACACTTCCTAAGCAGGATCTAAGAAATGAGAGAGTGAAATATGGGCCCAAACGGTATAGAACAAGACATACAATTTGGAGTCTGAGGTGCGAATATGTAGCTCTCAAGCTTTAATTGTGGCCCCTTTTCCTTTTGCCGAATTCCCTTTGTATTTTTAGTAGTGGTAAGGGAAGAATGTTTTGTCTTAACCTACACGAGAAGCATAGTTGTTGCCACTAGATGGTTCTTTTGTACCACTTTAACAGCCACGCTTCTTACTTGTCTTGCTCCTTTTTCATCTGAAGGTGGCAGAAGAGGAATATCTAATCCAGGAGCTGAGGAAAATTGAAGCCAGGAAGAAAGAGAGGGAGAAGCGAACACAAGACTTGCAGAAACTCATTACGGCTGCGGACACAACCACTGAACAAAGACGTGCAGAACGCAAGGCACCCAAGAAAAAGCTGCCACAGAAGAAAGAAACTGAGAAACCTGTAAACATTTTTATACTTGTCCTTTTGCCCTTGCTTATGGTACCACCTTGCCTTTTGCCTGGGGTTGTGGGTAGGATAGTTGTCTGGTTCTAGATATATGCAAAGTTTCTATGATTTGGGTTATTTTTTATTAGACCTTGGTATTTCTTGAGGTAGCCATGTATAGGCTGCACAGAGGCCAGATTTAAGCTGGAAGCCACTGAAATTGCTGTTTTGGATATGTGGAAAACTGTACAAACTGTTCTCAAAGAGCAAATGACTTGGTGGTCAGAAACATGTTCACTTCTATATTATGCAGCATAACAACAAGATCAACAGCAAGAGCATAATCTGTCTTGTTCCAGTGTAAATATTAAGGATAGGCAGATCATTTTAGCTACGATTCCTGTCAGTTGGACACACATCCATTTGTAAGGCTCTTCTCCCATTTTTGCATTAATGTGCAATCTTTAAAAGTGCACAAACGGTTGTGTATAATTGCATATTTAAATATATGTATCTGGAACTAATTTCGCACAAAATATTCTTTATTTGTGAGAATAATTTCTCATAAAATAAAGCAGGTTTTATTTGAATGTACATATTTCAGGACATTTTGTCCTAAAATATAGATTTTAAATTGTTTTTAAATTTTTGAGCTCAGCTCAGTACACACTGGAATTCGTAATGAATGAATTCCTCAAGGATCATAGCAGTTAGTCTGAAATCTGTGCCTAAGCAGGGGGTGTTAGCACATTGGATGGACTGAATTTACACATTCCAGAGATAAACCATTATTTTGGGAATATTAACAGGGGATGAGTTAATGATTCCTCCTCAACCTATTAAGGAATTTTATTCATTGAAGGCTGCAGATGCTAGGCAGAGCTGGGTAACTTAGAAATCACCATTGGTCTTGTGGTGCTTTTCAATGCATTTTGCACTGTTTTATTTTGAACACATCATTCTTTCAGTGAAACAATGAACTGATTATTCTTTGCTGTTGTTTCTGACTTATGGTGAATCTAAGGTGAATGTATTACAGGGTTTTCTTGGCAGAATTTGGTCAGAGGGGCTTACCACTGCCTTCCCCTGGGGCTGTGAAAGTGTGACTTGCCCAAGGTCATCCAGTGAGTTTGCATAGTTTTAGTGTTCGATTCAAATCATGGTCTTCCTGTGTCCTAGTCCTGCTGTCAAACCATTACACCACACTGGCTCTGTAGATATGAGTAAATTAATGGCTTTGTATATTAAAGTATTTGTAGTTTTTTGAATGGAACACAGTTTGGAATTGCTACATGAAATTTCTAGTAGAAATGGTTCTTTGCAGTGGTTTTGAGGGTGAGATGAGTTGGCCCCTAAATATACTATTTTTGTTCATGTGTAAGAGTGAATCCTTTTGTTTACCAATAAATGGCTTTCTGGATAGATAGGCTTACAGGCAGGAGTTGGAATGTCCCATAACCTTTCAGCTTGTTGTTTTATTTCCCTTTTCCTTTGGTAATTATTAGTATTTTTCCAGCCAGATTATACCATGCCAGTAGGACATGGGATGAAATAGCCACTCGACATGCTTGAGGCATGTTTGGCTACCTCTTCATATTTTGCATGGGGCCCTTGTATCTGAGTGTAACATCTCAGGGCTCATGAAGGCAGCTTCTGTTTTGCACTTGTGCTGTTTCAACCATGACAGAGTCCATTAGGAGTCAATTACCAACTGTAGCAGGAAAACGTGTGTGTGTTTTTTTTTTAAAAAAATGCATTTTAACTAAGAATTTGAATCAAGGGCTCTATCAGCATCATCTCAACAAAAGGAAGTCATTTACCAAAGAGTCAATTGAGGTTGAAGCATTTACAGCTCATGCTGGCGTCTGAGGTATAGCAACTTGTTTAATTGCTCTGATGTGAGGTGAAGGCAGACTGTGCGGTGTAGGAGGGAGTTAGTGTATCTCTCATTTTCATTAGAGACTAGGTGGATAATTATTGAAAGGAGGGTAGGAAGGGCATGCCCTAAATTGCTCTTAGAGTCTCTTGAACTGAATGAAATAGATCTTCCGTAGAAGTTGGTTGGTTCTACCTGTATGTTTATATGATGGAGTACAGTAGGTCCTAACAGCCATTTTACTGATCCAGAGCTATCTAAAGGTCGCTACTTCCCTTGCCTCTGCTGTCACAACCTGTGTAGCTTCGGTGTAGGTTCATGGAAGTTGGAATAAGTTTTTTTCAGATGCCCCAAAAGGTAAAACATCACATCCTTGATTCAAATTACAAGAAATCTGATTCTGAATAACTAATTGGAATGTCTTTTTGATGATAAGACCTGTTTGGTATAGATATGTAGTTTTCATTGTTTCTTTAACTTAAATTGAGAGAATACTGATAAGAAAATATTGCTCTGTTCACAAATCTTTGGCTGACACTAGAAAGGTGGTCAACAAACTAGTACATGAGTATCAAGATACAAAATATAAATAAAACTGTGTTTTTGTGTGAAAATGGGGGTTCTGTAGAATAGAGACTTGCAATCTTGCCAGCTATCTGGCCCCAACGTTGGCCATTTATTTATTTGCTATGTTTATACCCTGCCCTTCTCACCTCAAAGGGAACTCAGAGCAGCTTACAAGTAGACAATAATTCAATGCTACATATACAGAGCATACAATAAAATAAACACATATATTAAAAACCATAAAATTGGAAACATCTAAGCATAAAACCATATAATCTAAAATCATCGTTCAGGAGCTGTTCCAGTTGTAATTGCACTTGTGGCCATGAGCCACACTGAACCCAAAAAGCAATAAGAATTATTCTGACATTTCTAAAAACATGAAAATGTGGACAGTCATGTCCAGTTTCACTTTTTATTTTGGGAGGAGTATGTCTGAGAGTTTGGGTTTCTCTCTGTGCTATGCCCAAAATGAACGGTTCTAGATGCCTCAAGGACAAATAAAATGCTTTCCCTCCTCTAATCCACCAAAGACATTGTAGAGGGGAATAAAGCATGTTGAGGAGTTTTGTGTGGCCTGCAGGGACTTTGCCCCTTTATCTTTAGGCTATAGGCTTCGCACCTCTGGAGCCACTTCAGCCTTATTCCATTTAGAAGCAAGCCTATGGTATTACCACAGGGTATATGCGGGCTCCAATTCCTTGAATGGAAGAGAATGGCTTGTTGTAGATGAGTCATCATGTTGGTAGGCTAGATACAGCTGCAACGGCTTTATTTTTGTTATGATGTGTGAACCCAGGAGGAAGCCAACATTCTGGCCTGATTCCCTTCCAGCCATACTATTAAAAGTAGAACAAACCTTTTATTAATTCTCTAGATTGTTTGGGGAAAAGACACTCAATGGACTCCCTGATTTTGCATGCCACAGCAAACAAACAATGAGTTAAAGTTCCATGCATAATTTAACCATGTGAACAATGAGACCGGAGTGTACTAGCAACCTGCCTTTTCTTGATATCCTTTCTTGTGACATGTCTATATGGCCCTATATGGCCACAGCAGTCAGAACTAGCGTAATATTTTTATATTAATGCCATTTACTTTGAGGATGTGGCTATCATTTACTTTTAAAACAATGCAAGGTATTTAAAAATTCTATAAATTAATTATTAATTCTAGCAATTAAAATCAGAAAAGTTGTAATATTATTTTATTTCTTACCCATCTCCCCTCATGGCTTGAGGTGGGTTACAACATAGCTAAAACCATATAATCATAATATAAAATACACATATTAAAATGTATTTCTACAAAATATATACTTTGTATCTTTTGCAGCCTAAACATAACATATTGCCTTACGTGTGAGAGAGGTGGAGTTCAATGTGAAAAGGATAGAGGAATTTGCAATAGGCTTTTCCCTCTTGGATTCCTTTCTTTATTAGCTGAAATCCCTTTAAAATGATAGCATAATTACATGAGAATTGATTATATTGAAACATTTGTAAGTCTGCAGTGTTTAAAGAGAAGATAACTTATATGTTTAGCTTATAGTGGTGAAATATTTGGCCAGGAGAAAAGGGCATTATTCCTGGTGAAAAATGCAGAGGGCTACGAGATAGGCAGACATTCCCACAATATGAACTTCACACTAGAGCCAATGAATAGGGCAGAAACTATAACGTTGTGTAGGTAGATGTAAAAACTGGTTTTCTGAATATTAAAAAAAGCCAATGCTTTGCATGCAGAGTTTGAAAACCTGCTCTATTTGCTGATACATAGTCATGTTCATGATCATAATGCTATACACATGTTAGGATTTGGAAGTGGGGAGACCAAGCCATTCAGATGAGAGTGTGCTGTTTACTGATGCTCTAAATTAAAAACAGTTGAGGCTAAAATCAACACATTTCAAAATGGGTCAAAGCAGAGTGAGCAGATTAACGGAGTGGTTAATGTTGTATAAGGCCATTTGTGAATGTAGTTTTATCTTTGAAGAAGGCAGACCTATTGTGAGGGTGATTTGGAAGAGCAAAAAATCAACCTGGAAGTTGAAAATCTGGTAGCTTGAACTGCATGGTTAGAACCAAAATGCTCAAGAAGTCGATGTCTTATAGTAACAGCTAGTTTACAATCAAACATAGTACAATACAGCTATTTTGTTTTAAGTATTCATCACTTTGTGCTTAATGTGAACCACATCTGCCTGCCTTCTATTTCTGTGAGACCCCCCTCAGTAATATCACACTGTTTGCTTTAAATGCAATTTTCCTGAGATAATTTTAAAGCTGACACTGTGTAATCAGTATGAATAGATTTGTACTACGAGAGATTGCTGATATCATGGTGTACTGAAGCCATCTTGGTGTGATTTAAATGACATTTAAACCAATGGATTAATGCTGGTGCTAGTGCAGCATTCTAAATCCAGAGTTTGCTTCAGTCCTACTTATAAAATCAAAGCATTTATGTTAAGAAAACGTTGTGTCCTTCGGAATTCTTAAACATAAGTCACTGCGAGTGGCTGTCTGGCAGGAACTGATTCCTCCCCCTTGGCCTTCTGGGGTTTGCTTTGTGCCTCCTCTTATATTTCCTTTATCAACATATTGTGTTCTTCTCTTTTAGGCTGTCCCCGAAACTGCTGGCATCAAGTTTCCGGACTTCAAGTCTGCAGGTGTCACGTTGCGGAGTCAGAGGGTAAGCTGCTGTAATGGTCATTGGGGGCTGGCATCAATGGTTGCTTGCTTTCTTTTTCTACCTACCTTTCCTTTTAAAGCTGCTAAGGGTCCACTGGAGTGTGAGCTGCCACAGTTAACTGGTCTCCAGCAAGTCTCTGGAATACAAGCTGTGTCTTTTGCTCCATAGGCTCACTAGAGGCGCCACGGGTGAACCTATCTTTTTGCTCCTTAAGCTTCAACTGGGCTGAACCTCTCTGCTCATATGCTTCTATTGAAAGCCACCCTATAATGTAGGATAATGGCATACTGGCAGCTTACGTAGCCAGGAGAGCATTTAGGGAAGTTCAGTGGAAAGGGGATTACAAAGTATTTTGCCTCTTGCCTATTGCAGTTGTACAAGTGAAAGACTTTCAGATATGTTTAAGCTAACATTCTCAATACCTCATTATATTTGAAATTTGATATGCACATATTACTGCATTAATTAAATGACCAGGGCCCAGACAGAAAGGACAGGTCATGGGTTTAAAATGAAATCCTAGTTTGTTTGTTCTCAGCTTCACTTGAGGATTTGCATATCCATCTTCCTAGTGTGTTCTAGACCAAGACTTTTAAAACTTTTTCCACGTGCAGCTACTTTCCACTCAAGAAATGTTTACATAATCCTGGATATCTAGATATACAAATGTGCATTCATAATAAATCAGCATTTGCAAGTCTTCCTTTTTGTGGAGTACAGCTGATGCATTTTCTGCAGAGTGGCTGTGAACACTGCATGTTGTTGTTAACAGATTTGTGTAAGTGGGTGGTGTTCAGAAACCTTTTAGTGTTGCCAAATTTTTCACAACCCCAACACTGAGCTCAGGGGACAACTTTTGGGGTTGGGACCACAGTATAAGAAGCAATGTTCTAGATCACAGTTCCCCATTTTGTCAGAACTCAGGACTCTTTCCTTCATGAAGGGGATTAGGGGATGAATGGGCATGAGGTTTCCAGCAGTTGCCTGAACTACGTTAAATTGTAGGAGGGAGTTTGTTCTACTAAAGTCAATAGCATTCCCCCACTCCTTCTCATTATTTCAATTTGGTAGGGACTTTGAGCAGGTTGGGGATTAGCTCCTTAAACTGTTATTTTAAATTCATGAAACATAAACATGTATCTTTTAACCACACTTGTTTGATCAAGAATGTAATAATCTAAAATTTTGTGTGCTTTAAAAAGCTGGGTCAGAATGACAAGGATAACCCTTTTCTCAATATGTTTGCATTTTTAAACCTTCATTATTATAACGGTTTTTAAGTGGGAACTGTTGCACTTGAAGAGTTGCCTAGGAACTTTTGGATCTCTGTTTCTGTCACTTCGACCAGCAAGGCCATTGGAGAGATCTATGGGGGAGAAGGCTGCTAGAGGGATGTGTCAAGGTTACCTGTTAGTAAATCTGACTGCATGACTGAGGGAGGGAAGATGTGGGTAGAAAAATGTTGCCTTGCATTATAGGAATTGACTTTTGGCTACTTACCTAACCTTGTGTAAAGCTTAGCTCATCTGTTAAGGCAGGTATGGGCAACTGAGATAGCAGAGAAGACTATTAGTAAGTTCTGCAACACCCAGCAAGTTGCACTCCCTAATAACCTATCAATAAACAGCGGAAAGTGTAGCTGGAAACAACATTTATTATTCTTGTTGTTATTTTTATTATTATCTAGTATCTACTTTCATAAGAGCCCCCGGTGGCTCAGTGGGTTAAAGCACTGAGCTGCTGAGCTTGTTGATCGAAAGGTCGCAGGTTCAATTCCGGGGAGCGGTGTGAGCTTCCGCTGTCAGCCCTAGCTTCTGCCAACCTAGCAGTTCGAAAACATGCAAATGTGAGTAGGTCAATAGGTACTGCTCTGACGGGAAGGTAACGGCGCTCCATGCAGTCATGCCGGCCACATGACCTTGGAGGTGTCTACGGACAATGCTGGCTCTTCGGCTTAGAAATGGAGATGAGCACCACACCCCAGAGTCAGACATGACTGGACTTAATGTCAGGGGACTACCTTTACCTTTACTTTCATATGATTTTCTTTTTCTGGATGAAATGGAAAGGTCTGATAATATCTGACATTCAAGGAATGTCTTGGATTGATTTGGGAGGGCTCTTACCACAAATAATTTGTTTTTTGGAGGGTTTCTGTGCAGTGTACTGTAAACCAGGCCTCCCTATGAAAAAGCCTCTGCAAACACCATGGAGTCCAAGGCCTGCAATGTGCCCTACTCCCCATTTAAGGATATTGTATGACTGCCGTTTCTTTATGTCTGGAACATTTGCCCTTATGCAAAAGAATCACACAGAATGGGAAGATATGTTAAATTCTTGCCAGTGCTCCCAAAATCTTGATATTCCAGTGACCAAGCAATATCAGTAGTGTTTTAATTGGGCCTTTGTCTGAAAGTGTTAATAGTTTTATCTATACAGTTGGCACTTGGAGATCTGAGAAGCTTAGCCATTGTTTGTGTGACATTTTAGGAGTTTCAGTAAGTCATTGTGATTCTAAGTGCTGGCTTGGATTTGAGAAAGCTGGCTGCAGTGGGACACGATGCCTGCCAATATGTTCTCTTATGCCAGTCCTCCATGTCTCTGTTTCTGATTGACAAGGTTTGAGATGGTGTGCAGTGTGACATGCAAAGGTGAGTAGACATGAAAGCCCTTGGGAGCAATCGGAAGAGGATTTGTTAACTGCCCGGATTAAGTGTTCTTTCTAAACAGCTTATTCAGGTCCTCCTTTGCAATTTGTTGCAATGGAGAAGCCAGGGGGAGCTTCATATCTACCGGCAACTTGATGTTTTTGCTTCATATTTATGGATAGGCTTCTTTGTAAAAAAACACAGCTTTCTCAGTAATAGTTTTCACTTCTTGGATTAATGAAGACATTACAGTATTATTTAGTATATAATGCAACAGGATTCATTTGAATGTGATTTTTGAGTAATGAAAGCATAGCACACAGCAGTGCTTTCAAAAAAAGATCAGCATAGGAGTTGGCATGCTTGTCATGTAACCAGGAGTTGGAAATTTGGAAGTTAGAAAAATGATTATAAGCACTAGTTCTGCACAACCAACATTTTTTCCAAATTATTTTTATTAAACCTTTACTAAGAAAGTAGGGGATGGGAGAACAAGGGAAGGAAAAGGAGAAATTTGGGGATAATAGATTAATTATTGGTCAGTTGCATCTTTACCAATGTCTAATATATCGCGAGGAGAAAACAGGGTTATCATTGCTACAAGAAGTTTTAATCTCTATTTTTTTAACATATATTACATAATATATTGAGGATTCTAACAATTTAATGGTAAGTCTATTGGTTGTATCTTCTGTCTTCTCACATGGTCTCCTGGTCCTCATGTATTCTTTTCCAGTTCTTCTCCAATGGAAATTAAACATCTAAAATTTTCATAACAGATTATTTCACATTAAAACTTTTCTTAAATTATTTATTATTAATATCTACAAAGAAAGTTCTACAATTTTCATTCAGATTGTTGGTAGGTTAGTGTTTTTATTATTTTATCATTATCATGCTGTCACTCCATATTTACATCAAATATATTTTCCATCTATAATTCTTGGTGGCAAAAGCTCTTTTACTTCCACATCTTTTAAAAACCATAATTGCTGGATCTTAATAGTTATCTCTGCTTGTTGAAAGACCAAATCTGACCACTACTTCTTTTCATTTTGCTATTGGGCTGCAATCTTCTGTTTGGCCATTTTGAATTCTCTTGAAAACAGTGTGCTGTATTGTTCATACTGAAAAAGGAGTATTTTGTATGGTTTCCAAATGTCCTGCCTTCAATGAATTTGGGGCGGGGGGGAAGCTTTAAAATGGCTTGTAGTCATTTGTAGATCGTTAGACCATGACTTTAATTGTATCAAATTAAATGTAACCCTCTGTGCAACCAGTTCTGACTGAAAGCATTCAATTTGCATGTGTGTTTTCATTCCTTTTATGTTTAACCTTAGTGATATATGGTTCCTCTGGTGCTAATACACATTTTGTCGGGGGATTTTGTTTATATGTTCAGTTACTACTCTGGCCCCCTTCTTAGAGGATGTAGGTAAGGGATAGATATGTGTTTAAGTTCTCGTTGCTCTGAGTCTGTGGAATGAAGAAAGAGATCTGGATTCCAAACTGTTAAGTCTTTGATAATGAGGCAAAGCAGTAGGATGAAAGCAAGTTCTTAGCAACCTCAGAGCCACAGAGGGGATGCTGTGGCGCAATTGTTTAGTTCACAGCTGGACATCTTCCACCAAGAAAGACTTCCAGCAGGCAGTTTTACTTGTTACCTGCTAACTAGGATCTTGTAGACAAATTGGTGGTCAGACCAATTAAAAAGAAATGGGGGGAGAGGGAGCTTTCATTCCCATTGATTCACACATCCACCCTCACTGGCTTTTAAATATTTACTAGCCAACTGAGCACTTTTTTAGCACTGATTAATGAGGTACAATCCACTGTGGTGCTTGCTTTCTCCGAGGATGGGGGTGCGGATGGGGGCGAGTGTTGTACTGTGCATTTAAGATAAATGAGTATTTGGGTCAAAGCTTAGCGTGCAGAAGGGGGTGGGCTTAGTTGCATGTGCGTTCATGTTAAATGTATATTCTGTTGTTTGATTTGTCCCCCATGAAATGGAGGCATGTGCTGCCTGTTTACTCTTCACTCGAGGCTCTTGGTCACCCGCATTCTCTCTGACATTAATGCAAAGCCAGACCTCATCAGCTGCTAACAGGGGAAGCATCTGTCTTTCTTTGCTTGATCAATACTGTCCCTTCAGAGGCCAGGCCTTGAAAGCAGTTACATAAAATACCAGTAATATTTATTTGGATTTGATAAATTTAATTACTTGGAACAATTAATAATTTATCTCTTTAGTATTGACTGTGCTGCAAGGCATTTCGGCAAGATAACCTGATTGTAATCAGCGCCTCCTTATTAGCCGGAAATTGTATGTTGCCGCAACGGGGAAAACTTCCG